CCTGCTGAAATGTCTGGTTCCATCTGCCCTTGCAGCCACCTTGGCCTGACCACCATTCATCCCAGAGCCTGTCTGGTGTCTAATTGGAGCTGAGCGAACAGGCATCTTTTGGGGTGTACAGGCAGTGCCATCCAGGCCCAGAGCTGCAGGAGTGAGAAGAACCACATAGGAGAGGCCTCCATGACCCCATCGGTGGAAATCTTGGTCCCAAAGAGCTTGTTGGGGCACACTAAACATCAGAAGGATGTTGGCTGGACAGGGGACAAAGAATCATGTCTGCTGGACAAAGGGAGCCAGTTCTCCGAGCCCAGAAGCCAGGCTGAGAAAGAGGCAGGAGACAGGAGCAGCTCAAACACAAAAGGTTCCCAACTGCCTTTGCTCAGGAAGGAAGGTCTGGCCTTCATCCTGAGACTATAACCTTCCCACATTGTGTTCACAGGAACTGAAATCAAATCATTTGTATGAAATGAGAGGAGATGGTAATTGCAACCCCCCACCCTTGGCAAAATAAAAGGTGGCAACCTATGCTGGTATCTCCATTTGGTTTGTTTGTTTGTTTGTTTGTTTGTTTGTTTGTTTTTGTTTTTGGTCCACAGAATCAGAAAATCTGGAAACCAAGGGTTTCTCTGGGGGTTTGGGGATGGAAATCAGCTTGTGGAGGGCTGGGGGGGAAAAACAGGAAACAAGAAAGTGGAGACAGCAGGTGTAGACAACAATTATTGTAGATCGATACTACTCAAAGTGTGGTTCCAAGACTGGTGGCAGCAGTGGCACCTGGGAGCTAGAAAAGCAAATTCCTGGTCCCTACCCCAAACCTACAAATTCAGACTCTCTGGGAATGGAGACTGGCAACCTTATTTCACAAGCTCTCTAGGTGATTCCAATGCACACTAAAGTCAGAGAACCACCACTCTAGCTGCTTGTGAAGAGGCCAAGAGAAAGGGAAGTGGCTGGAGAGCCAAGTGAGATTTAAAAATGATTTTTGTGATGGTTGTTCTAATATAGAAAATACTTAAGCTTTTCTTAAAGTTTTTTATTGAAATACCATACACCTATAGAAAAGTGCACACATCGTAAATGTACAACTGAATACATTTTCACAATCAGCACACTCGTTACCAACACAGGATTAAGAAACAGAACATTGTCAGCATCCAGAAGCCTTCTCATGCCCGCTCCCTCCACCTTCTGACTTCTTATGGCAGAGACTAGTTTTACCAGTTCTTGTACTTTATATAAATAGAAGCAAAAATATGTACTCTTTGGTGCCTGGCTTTTGTCATCCATCAGTGTGTTTGTAAGCTCTATCTATGTTATGGCGTACAATTGTATATCTCTTATTCTCACCGCTGCAGAGTATTCTACTGTGTGATTGCACTACTCACTCTACTGACAATGGGTGTGTGGGCATTTTCCAATTTGGAACTGTTCCAATTAGTGCTGATAGAGCATTCTAGGACAGCGGTCTCCAACCTTTTTGGCACCAGGGGCCAGTGCACCTATGAGAATCTAATGTCTAATGATCTGAGGTGGAGCTGGGGCAGTGATGCTAGCGCTGGGGAGCAGCTGCAAATACAGACGAAGCTTCGCTCACGTGCCCGCAGCTCTCATTTTCCAATTTGGAACTGTTCCAATTAGTGCTGATAGAGCATTCTAGGACAGCGGTCTCCAACCTTTTTGGCACCAGGGGCCAGTGCACCTATGAGAATCTAATGTCTAATGATCTGAGGTGGAGCTGGGGCAGTGATGCTAGCGCTGGGGAGCAGCTGCAAATACAGACGAAGCTTCGCTCACTTGCCCGCAGCTCCCCGCCTGCTGTGTGGCCTGGTTCCATTGACTGGTATCGGTACTGATCCTTGGCCCGGGGTTGGGAACCCCTGTTCTAGGATGTCTGTTAGGCACATACTTAAGAGAGGAATTTTTAAGGACTTGACCATGTTTAACGACTGAGAAGAAAGCAGTAGAGAAGATGTGAAGCTACAGAAAGTAGGAGTCAGTGAGATAGCGAAGTCCAGAGGCAAAAGGCGGAAGGCGTTGGCCAGAACCAAAGGCGGGCGGTGGCTTCGCTATTGCACCAGATGGGAAAGACAGAGCAATGTGGAACATGGATTTGTAGTTGGGGGTGGATATGGGGAGCTCCTTGCATCAGCCTTGATTTGTCCATGTGATAGAGGAGGCAAGGTTGTCCACTCAGTATACAAGTCAGAGAGTTCAGGGGAGGGGAGTGGGAGAAGGTCTGAAGTAGTCATAGTAGTCAGCAGAAAGATAATTAGAGAAAGAATGAGACCAGAGTCCATAATTTGTCCTACGATTTTGCCACAGAACAGGTCCTTGTGAATCCTAGAGAGGGAAGGAATTTGGAAACTCATGGTTTCCAGGCAGTGGCTCCCTGAGAGGTCTGTGGTGCCACCTGCTGGATAAGAGCCACACGATGCGTCTTCACCACTAGATGCTCCCCAGATAAATCCAGACTCCTAGAGGGGCCTCAGGCTGAGCTTTTACTCTAAGAGACCAGACACCTCCACATCACATGCTGAGCCCTGATTCAAGCAACAATGTAACCATAGTTCCAATCCAAGCTCCACTTTCCCTAGATTAGCGTCCTGATCAGGCCAGGAGCTCCAGGGTCTGCATCCTCTAAAAAAGGGAGCCAGCAAGCATCCTGGGTCTCAGGACCTACGACTGTAGGTCGTAGGCTGGGCTCTTCCTACCTCCCTGAGCTGAATTCCCTGCCATGAGAACCCCTGGGCCCTGGGTCCTAATGGAGCAGGTTCACTTGGAACCTCCCTGGCCCCATGACCTGCCCAAACCTGTTTCAGATTCCACACCACCCCTCCCCAAGGCTGTCTCCACCGCCCTGGCTCAGGCAGGGCCTCCTGAGACTCAGCTGGGAAGGTTGGCAGGCAGGAGGGCACCACAGGGCCATGGAAGCCACAGCAGGCCCCATGCTCTACCAGAAGCTGCTGCTCTCGGAGCAGAGCTTGGAGTCTGAGGAAGAAGGGGAGATTTCAGAGCCACTTATTCATGACCCCTGGAGGCCCCAGGACTCTTCTGGGTGAGTCAGGGAGGGATCTGGGCACCCAGCAACTCAGGCCTGAGGCTGGTAAGTCCCTCTCTTTGGGGTACCTAAGGGGGGCCAGACAATCCTGAGCTTGGCTCAGCTCCGGGAACTTTCTGGTTAAATAGGGGAACTGGGGCTGCAGCCCCAGACCTGGCCTGAACCAGTCAATCCAAGGTCTGTGTGTCTGAAGGAAAATTTGTACCAAACCAGCCCTGCCAGCTGCTCTGTCAAAGGTTCCCAGCCCCCATCCCTTTGGGCAGGAGGCACCTGCTGAGCTGGTTGGGGCCTGACTACACCTGGCTGAGCCCTGCTTCTCAAGGCTGCCAAGACCTTGTCGGGCCTGCCGACCAACTGGCTCAATCCTGCCTCTCCAACCTTCTTTCCAGAGACTTTGTTCCTATCCCTAACTGTCCTCAGTTTCCCTAGTCTTCATATCTCTGTCCACACTGCGCTATCTTCCAGGAGGCCTTTTTCCTTGGCAAACTTTTACTCCTCTTGCAAGCAGGATCAACCTTTGGGGAAATATTCCCTGGGTTTTCCTGGGGCTCTTGGGTGTCTATCTGCCAGCCCTGGCTCAAGATACCACTATCTGCAGAAAAGATGCTGGTGCTCGGCCCGGGGCCTGGGCCCAACTAGTCGCCACTCTGCTGCTATTGGCTGTTAGCTTCTCCCTGGCCACATGGCAACTCTACACCAGGGGTAGCTCTACGGAAACTGTGGGCTCTGTGGCCCCTCCACCCCATGGGCACTCCCACCACCCCGGCGTATACCACCATGGTGCCATCATCAGCCCTGCAGGTCAGTGATGGGAGCAGCTCAGGAGAAGGGAGGGTATGGGGTCACTGGTTCCAGGCCCCTCCACATAATAGTCCCTTCCTTGCTGCAGCCATGTGCTCCCACCTGGGCCACGAGCTGCTTGTCGCCGGGGGCAATGTTGTGGATGCCGGAGTTGGAGCCGCTTTGTGTCTGGCAGTGGTGCATCCTCATGCCACAGGTCTAGGTCAGTGACCCACAACCCCAGACAGTGACCCCAACCCTGGGTGTGATTGGTGACCTGGACCCTAGGCAGTCAGTGGCCTAGGGTCAGTGGCCCTGCCCCGAGGCTGGTTTGTGAGCATGACCTAAGACTTGACCAGTAGCCCCAACCCTACGCTGTGACCCTTGATCCCAGGTCCCTGTAATCTTGACCCCAGGTCAGTCTCCAGGCTTAGTCAGTAACTCTTGACCCCAGGCTAAATCATTGGTCCTTCACCTGGGGCTACTGAGTGACCCTGACCCTAGTCAGTGCCCTGACCCCTGTATGACCCCTTTATCTCCCTCAGGTGCCATGTTCTGGGGCCTCTTCCACAATAGCTCCTCAGGCATTTCAACTGCCCTGACGTCAGGCCCAGCCCAGACTTTGGCCCCTGGCCTTGGGCTGCCCTCAGCTCTACCCACCCTGCGCTTGCTGCACACACACTTCGGCCGCCTGCCCTGGCCGCGTCTGCTGGTGGGCCCCACCACGCTGGCTCAAGAGGGCTTCCTGGTGGACACACCCTTGGCCAAAGCTCTGGCAACCCAAGGCACAAAGGGACTCTGTCCACTACTTTGCCACACTGATGGGACCCCCCTGGGCCTTGGGGCCCGAGCCACCAATCCAAAACTGGCAGATGTGCTACACAAGGCAGCATTTGCCCCGAACCCAAACCTTGCTGGGGATGCCCTACTGAGTTTGCTAGCCAGAGACCTGGGGCTCGAGGGACCCTCAGTTGAGCCCATGCCTACTTTGGAGCCAGCACTGCAGCTACCTTTGGCCCAGGGCATCCTGTTCACCACCCCTAGCCCCTCAGCTGGCCCAGAACTGCTGGCACTGCTGGAGGCAGCCCTACGGTCCAGTGGGCCCCACCCTGACCCGTGCCCACCACCCCTACAAGTTACCGTGACCCCTGTGAGCAGTGTCCTGGCCACCGTGGACAGCAGCGGCTCTGTGCTCCTTCTCACCTCCTCACTCAACAGCTCCTTCGGCTCTCGACACCTGTCCCCAAGCACTGGGATTCTACTCAGCAACCTGGTAGCCAAGTCTGCAATTAGTACCTGGTCCTGCCCCCTCATCCTTCGTGGTAGCCCAGATGACACAGAGACCGATGTGTTGGGGCTGGTGGCTTCAGGGACTCCTGCAGTGGCCAGAGTCACAACTCGCGCCCTGCTCAGCCACCTAGCTGGGCCCCAAACTCAGACCCAGCACCAAAACCAGAACCAGGCCCAGCAAGGATCAACAGAGAGCCCTGGCGCTTGTGGCCAAGAGACTGTGCTCCAGGTGGCAGCCCATGCAGAGCATGCCCATGTCTCCAGTATCCCCAATGGCTGCTGCCCCTTTCAGGGGTTCTGAGTGGGCAGGGACAAGAGTTGGCCCAGGCAAGGGCAGAGAGGGCCCAGCAGCAATGAAGGGCATAAAAAGTGTATATCAACTATGTGCTCACTGCTGGCCCTCAAACTCCGGCTTAGTCAGTGACTTGGATTGGCTCTTCTCAGTTAAGGAAACTAAGGATAATCAGAAAAGAGTACCAGGGCTTGGGGCAAGCCCTGAGTTCAGATCCAGCTCTGGGAAGGAAAGGTGGAAGAATGCCAGACCCCTGCCTAGGCTCTGGGACCCCTGGGCAGGTCAAGCAGAGCCTAGGGTACTACTGGCACCTCTGTCCTCCCCTTCAGGCCCCCTTCTTCTGATCTCCCTCAACGAGGCTGGAAACAAAATAAAGATCAAGTCTCCCAGATGCCATGTCCCATTCCTCCTGCTTGGTTAATTTCCCATAAGTCTTTGAGGCACCTGGTGTCAAGGCTTCCCTGATAGGCAGCACAGGAAACTCTCCTCCAGAGAGACAGAGCCTGGGCATGTGTCTTTTGGTTCCTCCCTGCTCTGCCTACCTCCCTCCTAGGGCACCATGTATGCAAGGTAAACCTCTTAATCTCACTTTCTAAAACAGAGAGCAGAGCAAGGAAATGGTTAAGTGTGTCAGTAGGAAGTGCCTCAGGGGCTTGGGTACAAAAGCAGTTAGAGCTGAGTCTCTGGAAATTAAAGGCCAGATTTGCCTCTGACCTCCCCAACTCCCCTAAGGCTGGGGCCTCTCTGGACTACAACCTTCCAGAGACAGCTTCTCAGGTCAACAAGCAGGGGTGACCAATAGCATCCCCCCCACACACACATATTGTAAAAGGTATCTCTGATTTAATAGAACTCTTGATCCCACCACCTTCATCTTCTCCTCCAGTAAAGAAAATTCTTCCTCATCTCAGTTAATTGGACCACAATCCACCCGCTTACTTTAGCCCCAAATCTGGCATCTCTCTCTTATTTACTCCCTCCACATCCATCATCCGCTACCAGCTTCGAATTAGCTGGACTCTGACCTGTTCTCATAGTACCCTGGTCCAATCCACCACTGTCTCTAAGTGTTCCTCCTGCTTCTACCTCTGCACTCTTACAATCCATCCTCCGCACACAGCTGCAAAATAATCCTTCAAAAATGTAAATAGAATCAAGGCTTGCCCCTCCATAAAACCTTTCAATGACCCCATCACATTAGAAATAAAATCCAAGCTCTAGATCTCCGAGAGAAAGCAGAAGAGCCAGGCCGCCCCGCCACGCCCCCATGCCCACCCCTCGCCCACCCCTCGCGGCCTCTCCCGGCTCCGCCCCGCTGAGGCTCCGCCCCGCAGCCAACCCAATTCAGCGCGCTTGCGCTGCGACCTGACCCGGAAGAGGCTGTCTTCAGAGCCCACGTGTTCCAAGAGCATGGCGGAGATGGAAAGTCAGGACGTCGGTGAGCCTATGTCTCTGGGAGAGGGAACGAAAAGCAGCGTTCGGCCTGCTGACCGTCATGGCCTGCTGAAGCACAGTCGCGAGTTCTTGGACTTCTTCTGGGACATTGCGAAGCCGGAACAGGAGACGCGTCTTGAGGCCACGGAGAAGCTGCTGGAATATCTGCGCACAAGACCAGTGGTAGGGTGGCGATGCCTGGGGCAGGGTCTGTGTAGGTCTCAGCAAAGATGTGGCGGTGGGCACCAGGAATTGGGACTGGGGACACGTGGTCGCGAACCTGGATGCCCAGGTGAACGCGGTCCGAGGGACGAGAGTGGGCGAGTGTGGTGCGATTCTTGCGGCTCGCTGGTCGACCCGGAAATGTGATTGGTTCCACAGGGGTCCGAAATGAAGTACGCCCTGAAGCGCCTAATCACTGGGCTCGGAGTAGGGCGAGAAACCGCTCGGCCCTGCTACAGTCTAGCCCTGGCCCAGGTGAGACGGTCACTCCTGGAACGAGCCTAGCCACGCTCAAAACGGTGGGGAATGAGGAGGGCAAATGTCTCAGCTGCAGAAAGAGGAGTCAGTAGTCCGAGGGAGAAGTTGGGAGTGGGAGGGTGGCATCTGAGCTGACTGGAGGTGGCCCTAGTGGAAGTGGAGAAAGTGAGCAAGGCCTGTCTACAGAGAACCCCCAGCAGGTGGAATGGAAAGTTGAGCAGTTTTCTTTTTGATGCATGGGTTGACTGGCTTCTGAGGTACATTTACTGAGGGTAGTAAGCTTTGGAGTGGATCTCCTTTCCTCTGCAAGGTTCAGGACCCTCCGTTTCCAAGGGGCACTCAGCCATTTATCAGCCACCTCTGAGGAAATTAGACAACTGGAAGGGCAATAAAGATCCGTCCTTTAAGATCAGCCTAGGGGGAGCTCAGAGCAGGCTATGGGGATAGTGTCCAGGAATCTCAGCTGAGCAATCTAGGGGCCAAAGGAGGTACTTGCTGTAGCCCAGGTAGGCAGGGGGCAGAGACAAGATTCAGCTCCACCTGAGCAGCATGTTCCATCGTTAGCACTTCTCAGAGGGCAGTGAGCAGCTTCAAAGGCATTCTTGGGGTGAGAGCAGGGGCCTAAGGCTTCTGGGCAGAAGCTGAAGGGAGATGTTGGAGGAGGTTGAGGTCTTTTGGGATGTGGCAGGGCCACTTGCCTGAGCCCCCCCTCTCCCTCCTGTCATGACTCCTGGCAGTTGTTACAGTCTTTTGAAGACATCCCCTTGTGCAGCATCCTGCAGCAGATACAGGAGAAACATGATCTGCAGAAAGTTAAAAAGGTGAGATTTAGTGGCCCCAGGGAGGTCAGCAGCCCTAGGGTGGGGAATTCTTGGGCCCTTGGAGAATTCACCAGTTCACCGGCTCCTGGAATCCTTTTCTAGGCAATGATGAGACCTGCTCTCTTTGCAAACCTGTTTGGGGTGCTAGCCCTCTTTCAGTCAGGCAGGCTGGTGAAGGTAAGAGCTTTGGGGGCACAGGAGGTATGTGGACTGGCTTGGGAGTGGCGGGGGACAGTGGCATGTCCTACTTATACTCTCTCCCTCTTTGTGGGTACCAGGACTCAGAAGCACTGATGAAGTCAGTGAAGCTGCTGCAAGCCCTAGCCCAGCACTACAACCACTTGCAGGAGCAGCCCCAGAAGGCCCTGGTGGATATCCTCTCTGAGGTACAGGCTTACTGGCTTTGGGCCCTAGGGTAGTGCTGCTCATTACAGACGTGGAGAAGACACAAGTTAATACATGGAAAAGCTCTAAAGCAGCACTGCCCCATAGAAAAACAAGTGTGTGATTTGACAACTTTTTAGTAACTGTTGGAAAGGTAAAAAGAAACATTTATAGTTTAGTAACATTTAACTTAACCAGTATATCTGTTAGGTTGTCGAAATGATTTAAAGTATTATTTCAACATGCAGTGGTATAAAAAGCTGTAGAAATAGTTTACGTTTTTCTTGTCGTATTAAGCCTCCGAAAGCCAGTATGTGTTTTACACTTACAGCAAATCTTCATTCAGATTAGCACATTTCAAGTGCTCAGTAGCCACATATGGCCAGTGGGTGCCATATTGGACAGTGCAATTCTAGAACAGCCCCTGGCATGTGGCAAGTATATTAACATGTTTGCTATTGTATTGAGCAGAGTTGACCCCTTAGGGACCCCCACTACCCTACTTGGGAATGGAAGTAGGCTAGTACCTGGAACCCTTTGCTGCTGAGGAAAAGGCAGGGACAGCAGTGTCATGGGCCCCAGCTTTCTGCACAGCCCTGGCCACAGAGCCAGAAGGACCTGAATTTGAACCCTAGCTCTCCACTTGGTGCTTCTTGTATAAGAAACGGGCTAGTCCTGAAAAACCCAAAAGAAGAATAATTAAAACAGTGGCACTTGGCCAATTAGCATCAGTGGGGTGCTTGTTTAAAAACCCAGCTTCCTGGAACTTGGGAATTTAAGCTTTTTAACAAATGCCCTCTGATGATTCTGATGCCTAACAAAGTGGGTTGTGGCTCTCCCACCTCAGACTGGCACTGTGCCAGGGACCTCTTGGGAGCTCACTTCAAAGGATGCTGTGGGGGAGCCACCCTCCCTCAACCTGTCTCCACACCCAGGTCCCGGAGGCCACATTGCAGGAGGTCCTGCCAAAGGTCCTCAAGGCTGACTTGAATTCAGTACTTGGCTCGCCTGAGCACCTGGAGCTCTTCCTCTTGGCCCAGCAGAAGGTGCCCACGAAGCTCGAGAAGCTGATGGGATCAGTCAACCTATTCTCGGATGAGAATATCCCCAGGTGTGAGGGAGGTGGGTGGGTGGACTCCCTGGGGCCAAGGGGCTGCATTTGGCTATCTATAGGTATGTGGTATGGCCTGGGGATGTCCCTGCTGCTCTGGGAACACCGGTCCTTATCTGTTCAGTGGGTGCCCCCTGAGTCATCCCCTCTGCCCTCCACAGATTGGTGACTGTGCTAAAGATGGCTGCCACCTCCGTGAAGAAGGAACGCAAGCTGCCTGCCGTGGCTTTGGACCTGCTCCGCCTGGCACTTCAGGAGGACAAGTTCCCACGGTTCTGGAAGGAAGTCGTGGAACAAGGGCTACTGAAGAAGCAGTTCTGGCCAGCCAGGTATGTGATGTGCTTGTCCGCTCTCCACCCCTCCTTCTCTGTTAAGCAGTGATGGACCAGCGGTCTCAAGATCCACCCAGGGGAACTGAGGGCTCTGACCAGATTTTATCATGTACCCACTTAGCTACCTGTGTTTCCGCCTGCTGGGTGCTGCCCTGCCCCTGCTGTCCAAGGAGCAGCTGCAGCTGGTGATGCGAGGAGACGTCATTAGACATTACGGGGAGCACATGGTTACTGCTAAGGTGGGTGCCACCCACACAGCCCAACACTGCCAGAAAGGGCCAGGCAATGGGGCTGCTTCCTGCCAAGGGGTATGGGCTGCCTCAGGAATCAGCCAACTTCTGGAAAAGAGGGCTACTCTTTGGTCCAGTGTTGGGTCTTCCTGTCTCTGGTCCTACCTGGGATGGGCAAGCACAGCTGTTGTTGGGAGGGGCCTGGGACCTGGATGTCCCTTGCCTTTGGGTAAAGTGAGCTATCTGAGCCCCCTGCCCCTTCTTTCCCTCTGAATGGAGTTTTGACAAGGTCAGCCCATCTGCTCTCAGGCCCCTCACCAGAGACATGAACAGCCTGTGGTCTATCCAGACCTCCATCCACCTTTGTGTTACAATAAGGAGAGTAGTCTTCATCATCAGTGTTGTTCTGAGCACTGTCCATGCATCCTACACTAAGCTAAGCACTCAACAAGAATGTCTGTCAAGTGGCGATAAGAGCATGGACCAGACTACCAGGTCCCAGTCCTGGCTCCACTGCTCATTAGCTTTATGACCTTGTGTAGTTTGCTTCCCTTCCTTGTGAGACAAGAGGAGCAGTGCTTCCTCAGAGTTATGAAGATATCCAGTTAATACCCACCAGGCACCTAAAGCAGTGCCCACTGCACAGGACATGCTCCTGAGCTTGTTCCTCTCACCAGCTCGTTTCCCCTTTACAAGCAGCTTTGGAGAGCCGCGTTCCTATTAGAGTTCTGGGCGAGGGACAAGTCACAAAGTAGAGAGCAGTGGTGAAGAGCGTGGCTGCAAGGCCAGGCTGACTGGGTCCGCATCCCAGATGTACCATTTGGAATGACTTCTAAGCTTCTTTGTGCCTCACTTCTATAAAATGATAAAAGGAGGCCTACTGCAAAGGGTCGTTATAAAGGTGAAACAAGCTGCTACACAAAGACATGTTGCGTGGTGCCCAGCACACAGGAAGCATACAAGAGGGATTAGGTTTTAAGTCTCACAGCTAGGAGTTTACAGAAGTAGGAGTTGAACCCAGGTCAGTTTGATGGCCCAGTCTGGACTCTGAACCACTATTCTGCCCTGCCTCGAGCCCAGAAAACAGCCTGCCCTGATCTAGTGAGAGGTGGGAGGGAGAGGCCTTCTGGGGTCGGAGGTGAGGTCAGAGAGGCCTTTATGCCAGGCAGAAAGAAGCATTAGGGAGATAGGGCAACTCAGCCTGGCTGTTAGAAGGGAAGGAGGCTTCCTGGGCTTTGGTTTACCCTGATGGGTAAAAGGCTGGCAGGAATGTTGGACAATGCTGTGCCTGACTCTTGCAGTTCCCAAACCAGTTCAAGTTTGCTCCAGAGATGAATGAGTATGTGGGAACCTTCCTAGAAGGCTGCCGGGATGACCCTGAACGACAGTTGGCTGTGGTAGTAGCCTTCACGTCCGTCACCAACCAGGGCCTCCCAGTCGTGCCTACTTTCTGGCGGGTCGTGCGGTCCCTAAATGCCTCTGCCCTCAAGGGCTACGTGGCCTGGCTGCGGGACATGTTTCTCCAGCCTGACCTGGACTCCTTGGTGGACTTCAGCACCAGCAACCAGAAGAAAGCCCAGGATGCTTCACTCCATGGGTGAGTGGGCCCAGGGATTGGGGGTGAGGAGGGGCCTAGGGCTCAGGAGTTGGCTTCCTGGGCCTGCTGAGCCCAAAGACCAGTATCAAGGTTCCATGGAAGGGCGGAAAAGGGGAGGAGGTGAGCCTTAGCTCTCAAAGAAGGCTCAGTTTCCTCCCGTGTGTTCACATGCTGGTGTTCAGTGGGTAGAGATCTCAGTATTCCAGTCTCCAAAGTGAGTTAAAGGAGTACCATTTTTGCCATCTCTAAATGGCTCTTGTAACCTGGCTTCTGCTTTCCAGGCCTGAGCGTGCTGTGTACCGGCTGCGGAAGTGGATCATTCTCCGCATGGTCAGCATCGTAGACAGCTTGCACTTGGAGAAGGAGGAGGCCTTGATTGAAGAAGTGGCCAGGTGTGAGACATGCTCAAACCTCAACTCCCTATGGGTGGGGCTGCCAAAGAGTTGACCTCTTGCCTAGTCCTAGTTTGGGTCTCCCTGGAGCCAGAAACCTTGGAGTCAAGTTGTCTATGGGAAGCAGGCAAGCCATTCCTGCCCCTTAAGCAGAAGAGGATCTAGGAGAAATTTTTTGGAAGCCTGTGAAAGGAACAAACCCAGGAAATGTGGGGCCGAAGAGGCCTCAAAGGCTCAGGCTGTCACCACAAGCAGCCTCTGTACATCCTCCGACAGTGTCAGGGAAGCCTCAACACCAGCCTCATCTGTGTCAGGTGCTTATTCAGCCCTCAGTACAGTCCCAAGAAGGAGCCACCTGTGTTAGTAGAAGTGATGGTGTGATTTGGTTGAGGCCACACAGCCTTGTGTCTGGTTCCAAGGGAGGGATTCTGGATCAAGATTTGAGAAATGTCCACTTCTCATCAAGAAGTGTGGCTACCTTCTCCTCCTGTCCTTCAGTGGTGCCATCTGAGGAGAGGCTGGTAAAAACAGGTGGCACTAACCTCGGCAACATGGGTTGCTCTACTCTCCCCAGGTTTTGTTTCTTTCACTCATTCTTTGAAAAAAAGAAGCCCACATCCCAGATCCCAGAAACGGAGCAGCAGTTCTCCTTCCCTATGGAGGGCCGGGCCCGAGAGGTGGTCAGCAATGCTTTCTTCAGGTGGGCCGTGGGCAGCGTGGGAGAGGTCTGAGAGTGGGTGAGCAGGGTGGGAAGGCGGCCTTGAGGATGCTTGCTTTCTCCAGTTCTAAGCTGGAAGAAACTTAAGGCCCAGTGAGTTCTAGTGGGTCAGGGCGTGGGGCGGGAGGAAGATGGCCATGTTCACTGAGATGGCCATGTTCACTGACCCAGCCCATGACCCTGACCCCAACCCAGCCTGCTGCAGACCCTTAGTACACAGTTTAGGCAGGCACCGGAGCAGACCCAGGACAGACAGCCGTGGACCTACCGCCTGGTACAGTTTGCAGATATGTTGTTGAACCACAGCCGCAACGTGGCCCCCCTGGCACCCTTCACTACGCAGCAGCGCCAGGCCTGGGACCGGTGAGGGTCAGGATTTCCAGGGGATTGGTGGGGCACTCTGGTGTCTGACACTAACAGCAGTGGCCTGAGAGCATACCCATCTTGCCCAGGATGCTGCAGACTCTGAAGGAACTGGAGGCTCGCTCCTCAGAGGCCAAGGCCACTGCTTTCCAGCACCTCCTACTCTTGGTGGGCATCCACCTCTTCAAGGTACGGCCATCTAGAAGGGAAGGAGTTAGAGATATGGGGTCTGGGGCATGACAGGTTTCCTCTTGAGAGGCTTGAGGGCTTTGCCAGGAAAGGCTCAGGGAAGTTGAACTTGGCAGGTATCCTAGGCCAGCTGGTCCTGGATGGAGCTTAGTGCCAGCAACTCTTGACCCTCATGGTTTCTTCCTGACTACATTCTCATTTCTCCAGAGGTTTTCCTCTCACATCGTATGAGGCTCTTACAAGGCTACTTTGGGTCTTAAGTAGTCTGAGGAGATATTGCTCCCTTCTGGCCTCTTGGTTGTGGATCTTGTTCCAGGCCCCAGGAACTCTAGGCCCAGCCCGTGAATGAGTTGTGTGGGTAAAGGTTAGCCATGATGCCCCTTCTGCTCCTTAGCATTATGCCTTGGGGCCCTGGTAATTGGGGACACGTTTTGAGCCTGTCCCAGACCCTGGGATATCTGAGCTTGACTTGGACCAAGGGTGTGTCAAACTACTGAATAAAAGGTGCCCAGCTACGGCCAGGAAGCTGGGGACAGAGACGGCCAGGGTTCTGGGCTTTTATTCTGGCCCTTATTCTATCACTGCAGCCCAAACATTGAAGCCCCTTTCTGTATTAAGAGGGAAAAGTCTGCCTTTGTAGTACCATAATCACAGAGACTGTTTTCAGAGCCTCCCCTTCATCCCCCAAGGATGGTCAAGGAGGGTGGGTGGCAGGAGTCTGGGCATATATCCAGCAAGAAGGGTTAAGTCAGTTTAAATTAGTTAAATTAGTGATATTCGAGTTATTTGTAATAATGTTGAGCCAGGTGTGGGAGGAAAAATCTAAAATTTCGAATTGTGAGGCCAATGACCCTAACATGAAGTTGGGCTCCATGTTCCCTGAGGTCTCTCAAATCCAGTGACTGCATGTTAGGTGTCAGGTCATCACCTGGTTCTAGCGGAAGTCCTCTATTCTGAATGGTGTGGGTAACTGGCCAAGGCAGGTTCTGATGCCAGCTGCTCCCACTTGGCTAGCCCTTCCTTTAGCTCAACAAAGGCTAGAAATGGGGCCTGGCTCCTGATTTCTGTCCTACCCATAGTCTCCCACAGAGAGCTGCGACCTCTTAGGTGACATCCAGACCTGCATCAAGAAGGGCCTGGGGGAGAAGACACGCCGCACCCGCTCCAAGGCCACCAGTAAGTAGGTCATTGTTCCTGAATGGGAAGGCATAGGGGAAGGAGAAGAGCATGACCTGGGCACAGTAGGGACCCAGAGTTGGGCAGCTGTGCCCTGCCTAGACTCAGCCCTCTCCCCACTTGCAGACCCCCAAGAGCCACCATGGGTGGAGGTGCTGGTGGAGATCCTCCTGGCCCTCCTGGCCCAGCCTAGCCACCTGATTCGCCAGGTGGCTCGGAGCGTGTTTAGCCACATCTGCTCCCACCTGACTCCACGTGCCCTGCAGCTAATCCTGGATGTAAGTTGGGACCTTTGGGGAAATGGCTCCCGGGATGCGGCTGTCCCAAGTACCAGGCTGCACCAGCACTATTGTATCAGCCCATTGTCCTTACTGTAATCTGCAGAGCGGGTGGCGGCCTCACTCAAACTCTGCTGTTGTACAAGCCTGTTCAGGGTGTGCTGAGTGTTCATCATGTCTGTCAAGGAGGTGCTGGCCCTGGGCATTGGAAGATGTGCCCCTTCCTCCTGGGCTCCATTTTTCTCTCTTAACCAAGACTGGAAGGGGCATGTTCAGGGAAGGCAGTCAAGAGGGCCCAGTGGTCTGAGGACGGTAAAGGGTCAGCTATCTGGGAATACCCGGCAGGTGCTAAACCCAGAGCAGAGCCAGGATGAGGATGACAATGTGGTGGTCACGGACGATTCCGAGAAGCAGCTAGAGGATGAGGAGGTACTTGCCATCGAGGGGCAGGGCAGGGTGGGCAGACACATGGTGGGCGATGGGGAGGTGCGACTCCCCGGCACCCGTGGCCACCCACAGGACAAGACCTCGGACAGTGAGGACAACAAAAACTCTGAGAGTGAGGAGGAAAGCAATGAGGAGGAGAGTGACGAGGAAGATCGGGATGGGGATGTGGACCCAGGCTTCCGGGAGCAGCTGATGGCAGTGCTGCAGGCAGGGAAGGCACTGGTGAGCAGAAGCTGCGGAGGGGCTCCTGTCCCTGTCTATGCCTTCTTGTGCCTGCGGGAGCCCAGGCCGCTTACTGGGCATCTGTTTCTTAGGGTGGAGTGGACAATGAGGATGATGAGGAAGAGGTGGGGGATGAGGCCATGATGGCTCTGGACCAGAACCTCGCCAGTCTCTTTGCTGAGCAGAAGCTACGCATTCAGGCCCGGAGGGACGAGAAGAACAAAATACAGAAGGAGAAGGCACTCCGGCGGGACTTTCAGATCAGGGTGAGCCTGTGAACCAGTCTAGTCACCTGCCTCTCCCCTTCCTCTGCATGCACTCCCACTCCTGGCTGAGCCCACCTGTCCTGGTCATAGGTCCTGGACCTGATCGAGGTGCTGGTGACCAAGCAGCCCGAGAACCCCCTGGTCCTGGACCTTCTCGAGCCGCTGCTGAACATCATCCGGCGCAGCATGCGCACCAGCAGCACCAAGCAGGAACAGGACCTCCTGCACAAGACCGCCCGCATTTTCACGTGAGTGCAAGCAAGGGGCCACCAACATGCCCCAAAACCAGAGCTCGGAGGAACACCAGGCCTTTAGAGTTTCCCGAGTAGGAAAGGTAGGAGCCAAGTTTCCAGAGTTGGCCCACTTGGCTCTCAAGGCTCACTGCTCTGCCCCGGAATCATGTGTCACTTACTAATACACACAGCCCTTAATTCATCTATCTGTTCTCTGACACTTAGCAAGCACCAGCTTTCCACCAGACCCGCCATCCTCAGGGGCCCCCAGTCCCATCTCTGCCCTCAGAGTCACTGCTTTTGGGAAACCAGACTGGTCTTTTGGAAGTGACATCCTGGGGCTGTGGTGGGGGTTGAATAGGAGACAGTGGGAGTGCAAAGTGGTGGAAGCACTAAACAAGTGTCAAGGTGCCAGAGAAGGCCTCCTGGAAGGATGTCAGCAGTGCTGGGAGCTATAGAGTTCATCGGGCCCAGAGGCCACAGGGCAGAAAGGGTTCAGAAGGAAGCTGGTCAGATGCAGCTGGAACATAAGAGGCCTCAGCATGACCAGGGGCTGGTTTGCCTTTGAGGAAATGGACAGCAGCATGGGCTGCACTAGAGCAGGGAGCCCCGCAAGAGGGGTGATGTAGGTGGCAGATACAGACCTGCCTTCTGAAGTGCAGAGATGCTGGGGGGACTTGAAGGCCTAGGGACTTGAGATGCGGAGTGCATAGCATAGAGAGGTTAGTGAGGGTGTAACAGATAGTGCATCCCCCAACACTGCTCCCTTGTGAGCCCTAGGCCACACTTTCTGAGCTAGTTCTCCGTATCACCTGCTTGAGTGATGTTGGGCTTGTTCAGTGTCCTGCCTTTCATCCCTACTCTGTTCGCAGCCTTGCGGAGCCACAGAGTGTTCTGAGCACACAGATCGTGGTCTTGCTTTACAAAGGACTCCCTTTCATCCCTACTCTGTTCGCAGCCTTGCGGAGCACACAGACCGTGGTCTTGCTTTACAAAGGACTTAAAAGCCACTGTCCCACAAGAGACAGATGTAGACAGGAGATGTGGACCATGGTGCAGCCTCAGTTTAGGGAGCCAGTTTCCCCGCTGGCTTGTCCTCAGCAAATCTGTAGGTAGCTTTGGGCCTCCCTCTGCATCCTTAGATCCCTTTTCTTCTCTAGTTGTCTGTTTTCCTATGAAATGGAACTTGGGACCCCTATTCTTGGGGTTGGCTCTGCTCGGCAGGGAGCAAGGGTAGAAAGAATGTTGTAACCCGTTCTGCCCCTTACTACCCCACAGACATCACCTGTGCCGCTCCCGGCATTATTGTCATGATGTGGGCAACTGCGTGGAGACTCTGTACACCCAGGTAGAGCGTCTGGTGCAGCAGGCTAGTCACCAGGCCGACTCTTCCATCTCTCTCTACTACTTCAACGCCTCTCTCTACCTGCTGCGGGTCTTGAAGGGCAACACTGCTGACAGTTCCATCTGTAAGACCCAGAAGAAAGAGAAAGCAGGCACTGATACCAGCACTAAGCCTAAGGGCCCCAAGGTGAGCAGGCCCTGGCCCAGGAAGGCTTGGCCTAGAAAGACAGTAGATAGGAGCAAGTGCCGGCAGCAGGCCGGGACCATCGCTCATTTCACAGATGGGGAGTTGAGGCAATGACTTCCAAGAACCCAGCTTTCAACTTTCTGAAGGCAGCCAGGCTCTGTTCCCATACCAGGGACCCCTTCTCCCTGGCATCACACCAGCTCTCTCTCAGGTGGCCCAGGCTACCAGCTGCTTGGATTTAAGCCTCGTGACCCCAGTCTACTCATCAGCACTGAGCTCCTTCCTGACCAAGCGCAATAGCCCACTCACCATTCCCATGTTCCTCAGTCTCTTCTCCCGGCACCCGGTGAGTGTAGGGGCTGGCCCACCCCTTGGAGCCCTGGCTCAGCCTAGTCCCCCATCTCAACCCTGTCATTCCCTCCCTAGGTGCTCTGTAAGAGCCTGCTCCCCGTTGTGGTTCAGCATGTGACAGGCCAAGTGCGTCCCCGCCATCAGGTAAGGGCCTTCCCAAATCCTAGCTCAGGGCCTGAGTTACTCACCTGACTCATTTTTGGATGGATATTTGTTAGGGCCAGGAATGCTGCCCTGGTGAGGGTAAGGGTGGGACAGGAGGGCCCAGCCAGGCCCAGCCAGGCCCAGCCCAGCCCAGCCCAGCCCCGCCCCTCTGACCTGGCCAGCCCATCCCCTACTGTATAGTTACGGGAGTGTAGGCGGCTTTGCTCCTGCTGCCGCCACTTCCCATGTGGCCTGAGCTCTCTGACTCCTTAGCACTCACAGTCTGACCTGCACAGAGGAAGCCCCTGTCTGCTCAGGGTCTGGGCTGACATGTGAGCCCCAGGGTGGGTCGGGGGAGTAGCCAGGAGCGGGACAAGGGGGCTGGGAAGGCTGGAGGAAGACAGTACTGAGAAGTAAGAGTCAGATACTGTCTCAATCTGGATTGCCACCTCTGTCTATTTAAGAGCCCTTGCTTTCCCTTCAGGCTTTCGTTTCCCCGCCTACTTGAGAAGGTGGGACAGGAGTAGATGATTACTAAGCCCAGAACTTTTGTGGTAACAACCCAGGCAGGTTGGACCCAGAGCAGCAAGCATACCCTCACACACAGCCTAAAGTTGCCGTGGCCTTAGTAGATGCTCAGCAGGCTCCGAGAGCCCTTAGGGTCCCCTATGGTTTCTTAAGCCTTAGCCACATGCAGCGAGGCTTCTGGCAACCACATTTCCCCACCCCAGGCCCAGGCCTGCCTGCTACTGCAGAAGACCCTGCCCATTCGGGAGCTGAGACTGTGCTTTGAGGACCCTGAGTGGGAGCAGCTGGTTGGTCAGATCCTGGCAAAGGTCACTGAGGTAAGAGCCACAGAACTCCCTCCCGTACCGTCAGGAGCCAAGGAGCAAGGATTACTGGGACCCTAAGCCTGGAGGTGGGTTTGGGGTTGCCCCAGGAAGTGTTTCTTCCCTCTGGGCTGTGGGCTCTGGTATGGGAAATGGCTTCAGGCAGCTCTCCAGAGTGGCTCAGCCTGACTGCCTTCTCCCTAGAACCTGCGGGCGCTGGGTGAGGCGCAGACGAAGTCAGAGCACCTGAAGGAGCGGTCTTCCTTGGAGCTGCTCAACGCTCTTTTCCGGATTATCAATCATGAGGTGAGCCGTGGGCTCAGGAAGGAGGTCACTAGGCAAGAGGGACCAGTTTCAGCAAAGGTAAGGGCCAGCCGGTGAGTCATGAGGAAGGTTCTGAATGCCAGGGGAGGAACATGGGCTGTTTTTATTTGGGTGGTTAGAGAGCCACGGACATAGGAGATTGACCTGGGAGGGGAGAGTGCCATACCCGTGTCCACGCTGTCGTACCCCAGTAAGAAATCTGAGAAAGGGCTGGGAGGGCTGAGGACCATGGGAGACAGTGAAGAAGATTCCTGGTTGGCAACTATTAGGAGGGAGCCAGGTTTCCAGGCCTGCAGAGAAGGAGCAGGGAGCCATCAGAATTGGGGCCAGAAGGCAGCTGTGGATGAGTGTCTGGTTCCCTCCATCTGGGCCAGAGAGAAAGGTTTGGGAGTCCTTAGCATAGATACTGGTCAAAACCCATGTGCAGGGCAAGCTTTCTGAGAAGTACTAGAGGGAGAAGACAGGGCCTTGGCCAGGGCCTTGCAGAACAGCGGGCAGACCTGAGAAGCAGTGCTTGGAGTGGTAGTAAAAACCCAGGAGAGTGGAGTGTTCTGGAATCCAGTGGGTTTCAAAATAATCCATTCAGTATGTGGCAGGGAGGGTGAGATGGGAAGAAAGATTCTAGCCACCTGAGGTCATTGCATGGTGTTCTCAAAAGTGAGTGGGCCAGAGCTGCCAAGGGGAGGACTGAGTGGGTGGTGAGGAATCAGCTTGGGCCTTCTGACTCTGGGAAGAGGGAACAAACATGGCACCTGGGGTTCTTTTTTCCATTCCTAAGGTACAAGGAACTGTGATTTACAGGCAGAAGCAGTAGCCAAGGGTCAGAAGGGGACATGGGGTCACTGGAGAGGCAGCGATAACTAGGCTAGGGTGGGACGACTGGGGACCAAGAGCTGGGAAGAGGCCCTGCTTCCCATCTCCACTGCAGCCACAGCTTTCCCACTCCTCTGCAGAAGCTGACTGTGGACCTAACCTGTATCCGGAGCGTGCTGCAGAGCCAGCAGCCAAACCTGCAACAGAGGGTGCAGCAAGGAGAGCACTCAACCGGGTCTAGCCGCCTCTATGACCTCTACTGGCAGGCCATGAAGATCCTCGGAGTCCAGTAGGTTCAGGGAGGAGGACACACACCTTGGGGGGGACTGGAGAGACCCTCACACTGCCCACATTCTGATGTACGTGCCCCAGTATGGGAGCTTTGGGCAGTTTAGGTTACCTGGGACCAGAAGTGTAGGTCACTCGTGCTCTCGCTGGTCACTGCCTTACTTTGCTCACTTTCTCCTAGGCGTCCCAAGTCAGAGAAGAAGGATGCCAAGGAAGTCCCCAGTGCCACACAGAACCCCATCAGCATGAAGCGAAAGAAAAAGGGTTTCTTGCCAGAGACCAAGAAGCGCAAGAAACGCAAGTCTGAGGGCACCACACAAGAGGAGAATGCCAAGCCTACATCCATCAGTGGGGACCAGCCCCCCAGCACCGGCAAGAAGAGGAAGAAGAGGATGAAAGCTAAGGTCGCAGCCCAGGCCCAGGTCAATGGGACTCCTGCTGCCAGGAGTCTTGCCATCAAGAGTCCGGACCCAGAGCCCCCTGCCGCAAACCCCAGCACCCCTGCCAAGACCCCAAAGCTACAGAAGAAAAATCGGAAGCTGTCCCAGGTGAATGGAGACACCTTTGTGTCCCCTACAGAGCCTGCTGGCGAAAAGCAGCATCAGAAGGAGCTGCCCAAAAAGGGGGTCTCAGGCAAGTCGCCACACTCGGCACTGCCGCAGAAAAAGGCAAGATTGTCTTTGGCCAGCAAGAGCCCGAGCCTCCTCCAGACTGGGGCCAAGAAAAAGAAAGCACAGATGAGGAAGGAGAGAAAGTCCTGAGTGCAGGCCTTGCTCTTCCGCCCCTCCCTATCAGCCAGAGAGACTCCTGTTTTTTAACCATGATTTTAATAAACAAGCCACTGTGTGAGGTACTACCTTCTGGCACCGGGGATGGAGAGGGTTTGCTGTCAGCCTGCCGGGAGGTATTGCTGCAGCAAACACAACCCGAGTCCTTTTCCACGTAGTCCCAGGGTGGGTGCAGAGACCTTGGCCCTGAGCTGGGCCCTCCCTCGGCTCTCTGGCTGGTCTGTTTCTTAGCCCAGAATACAACTTGAGCCGTATGGGGCTGCGACTTTAGCCCCCGGTGATGTGGGCCAGGTCCAGGGCTCTGGTGATGAGGCGGGTCTGCACAGGTAGACACTGCCAGTGCAGTGCCAGCCACCACACTGGCTGAGCACAGGTGTGACCACTCCTCGTGCCCCCCACCCCTGGGCAGCTTTCCTACAGGAGCCACCAGGGCATGATTTAAATAGGTTTATTTCTTCATTTACAAGAGGAATATATTTGGCTTCTCTCTTAAGACTCTTGAGATTCACAATCAGCAGCTCTAAAAAATAAAGGAGCAGTTTGGCTTCCGGAAGGAAGAGGAGGCAACACTTGGACCTGGTTCTTGTACAACAAGAAAACATTGCTGGGGCCCCAGTTGAGGCTGGGGTGGGGGTAGGTGCCAGGCTGGTCTTTGAGGGGGTCCCCCCTTGTTAGGCCCCCTAGGGTACCCCAGAGCTTGTTGGGGAGTGGGTATTCCACTAGCTTACACACCACTGAAGCCACACCAGCCAGTAACTACAGGGCAAAGAACATTGTCTAAGCTAGCTCTTAGAGTCTCCTACTGGCCACAAGGGGCCCCCACAACTGAACCACCTTGATTCCAGCAAATATGCAGGGAGGGAGTATGGAACAGAAGGGATATGATAAGCTCCACGCTGGGGGCCAGCGATCTGGTGTAAAGTTGGCAGCTGTACCCTGTGTGTGACTATGAGAATAGCATGGTGTATGCAAAACAGGACTACAAGGGTGGTCAGAGGCTGGGGGCAGTAGTGGGCTGTGTGGAAATGCACGTGAGCAATGGCAGCCAATGTTTGGGTGGAGGTGGCTCTCGCCAGGCTATTCCCTGGGTCAGGAAGCTTAGAGGATGGCTGCTTCCTCTGGAAGCCACAGCCCTGGCTACTGCCCCATGGATTCTGGGAATAAATAGTCCCCTGGGCCCTGCCTCTGGAAAGGGCCAAGCCTGGGGCAGGCTTCTGTGGGGGCTCCAGGATGAGATGAACCGCAGAGGTTCTCCAGGGTCTGTGGGGGGGACGGGCAACCCCCAAAGATCTCGGGCCTGGGGGCCCAGATGGTGTATAACAGCCACCAGGGCCTTCACCCCTGATGGTGCCAGTTCTCTGTTGGGATGGCCTCCACCTGGAAGACCAAGTGAGATCCAGCCTGAGGCAGCAGAGACAAGTGACCCGCCAGGTTGAAAAATGCCCGGTAACTTGGGTGCCCGGGTCTGCCAGGTTGAGTCCAATGTCCCCGAGGTCACAGGCTCAGCTGAAAGGCTGCAGTCCTCACCTACCAGGCCCTTCAGAGAGCCTCAGAGCCTGAAATGCCACCCTGAGGCCCGGGCTACCTCTTTGTGCAGTCCAGGAGCTGTTGGGTCTTCAAAGTTGCAAACAGTGCTTTGCTGGGCAAGCTGCATGGGAAAGGCCAGTCCACTGGCCCCACGGTCTGGGGAGGGCAAGGACTTGCCCAGGATCACATAAGGTGGTGACAGGCCAGGCTCTCTCCACATCCCCAATGGAGGGTGTCTTCTCACTGGGCCCCAAGGGCCCTGCAGCCCAAACCCAGGGCTGGGGGTCTGTCCAACCATGTGGCCCCAGCATACACAGCCTTCCAGGTTACTTGAGGACATGGCCTCTTCTTGGATCCACGGCCACTCAGTCTCAAACCAGAGAGGGTGGGTGCCCAGCCGTGGGTCACATGGAAAGCTGGACAGCCCAGCAGGGCTGGGAGGCTGTAGGCTACTCCCTAGACTAGGTGGGAGGGAGGGCTCTTCATTGTCCCAGAGGCACCTGGAGGGAGGAGGATAAAAGATCAGAAGTGGAGCTTCGGGAGGGGCCAATCTAGAACTTCCCTCCTTCATTTTCCTTGTTTGGAAAGATGCCTTTCTCTGGGCTCTGGGGGTGTGAAAGGGGTATGGGTCTACTGGAACAGGGTGCATGGGGGCAGGGGGGCGGCGACCTTGGGTCTTGCACTGCTGGGAAGTGCAGCCCCCAGAGGCTAAGCTCAGAGGAAGGTCAAAGTAGGAGTCAGGGCCCTGGCACCTCTAGGAAGATTAGGGATGTCAGAATCCAGGACAGCACAGTCTTGGCCAGTCCCAGCCCTGATCTATGCCCTCAGCCCTTCTGAGGAAGGAAGAGGGAGGGTGCTGATTTACTGGAAGAGGGAGCCTGCCCCTCTTCCCATGGATCCTCCAGTCCATTTAGGCAACATTTCAGGAAGAAGAGCAGAGTGCTGCCCCGAGTGCTCTCTCTTCCCTAACCCCCTCTTCCCCTCCACAAAGAGCCCACCCTCAGGCCCCCTGGCCTGCACTCACCGCCTCAGACCTTCACGGATGCAGGTGGCATCACCAGCTCGTTCACCCTGGGGAAGAGACGGGCGGGGGTCAAGGTGGCGGATCAGCGGGGACCGGGCCCAGGCACTGCTCTGGAACATCGCATCACGGAGGCCGGCTGACCGGACGTGCTGGGCAGGGACCTCGTCAGCCCCAGGGGGAAGTGGGAGAGCCCAGGGGTGGGGAGAGGAGAAAGAAAGAAGAGTAAAGAGGAGAGGAGAAAGAAGTCAGAAAATGAGAGGAAAAGGAAGGAAAGGGGTCCCAGCTCCAAAAACATTTAGCTCCAGAGAAAAACCTAAGTCTAAAACCACCAGAAACAGCCTGATCCACCATGGGCTCCCACAGCTCCCAGGCCTTCGCTGGGTATGGGATGGAGGCTTTTGAACTGGAGGCAGCATCATAAGGACAGGAAGGCTTGCGGGCTGGTCCAGGACCCCGGGGGAAGGGGACAGGTGGTCCACCCAAATCACCCTCCCACCACCCCAGGCAGGGCTGTGGCAGCAGAAGCAACAGGCCCACCCCACCCCCACTCACTGCTGCTCAGCCTTGGCACGGTCACTGAGGAAGAAGAGAGCAGTGGCGAGGAAGAACATGCCACCCAGGACCACGACGAAAGGGCAGAGCATGAGGGCATAGCCCAGACTCAGGAACTCCCAGAGCGGGGAGTCCTTGGTGCTCTGGCGGATCAGGTCAGAGATCTGCGAGGATTGGGGATGGACGTCAGGGCAGGCCCACCTACCAAAGCCCATCACCCACCACAGCCGCTCAGCCCTGGGGGACTCACAAAGCCGATGAGGTAGGGGCTGCCGGCATCCCCCAGCAAGTGAGAAGTGAAGCTCTGCAAGGCCACGGCGGTGGCCCGTCTCGTGGGGATGACCACATACTGTAGAAGAGGTGGCAGGTCAGAGGCCAGAGGAGTCAAGCTCACCCACCTGACCTCATCTCTGGGGTCAGGACACTTCTGAAGCCCTCACACCCTCAGACCCCTTCTGCCCTGGTGTGTTAACACCTCACTCCCCTGGGCCCTTCCCTCTTCCTACCCCATCCTCCATCCAGCAGGGCTCTCTGCTCATCTCCAGCTCATGAGACCAGACTGCCTTAGGTTCTGCACTGGGCTCTTAGCGGGGAGCCAAGTGCAGTGGTTATGGGAAACTGAAGCCCAGAGGGACACGGATCACACACGAGTCAGGGAGCACTAAGCCCAGAACCCTGACCTCTCAGCCTCTTGCCCTCACCTCCCCAGGGACAAGCGCATCTTGGTTCCCTCTCCATGAGAAGCTGGCAAGGTCTAGGTTGGCCTTTGGGGGAGGTAGGGAGAAGGAGCCTGCCTGGGCACCCACAGCACCAAATGCCAGGGGCTGCTAGGCCCCAGGATTCCCTATCAAACAGAGCAGGCCCTAACTCCAGGGGCTGCAACTCCAAAGCTGGGTGGGCCAAGGTCAGCAGAGAAGCAGTGGGGCAGGCAGCAGCCAGCTCAGTGGGTGCCCCTAGGCCACCTCCTGTCCCCAAGCTCCAGCTACCTCATCTAGTCAGAGCACCAGCCTTTGGACAGTCTGTGAGAGCAGCTAATACCCACTGAGCACCAAGGGAGTGGGGGGGAGACCTGGATCTGATGATATTGTATGACCCCATTTCCAGTAATAATTAGTCACGTGGCTGTGACACTTAATAAAATGGGACATGATTTCCCTGGGACCCAAACTCTGTCAGCAGCTGGGGCTGCCCCTGGGGACAGAGGCAGGAATGGGGATCCTGCCCTACAGACAGACTCCTACTCCCTTCACTCTGGGCTTGGGCAGTGACCCTGCCACCGGGCCTGGCTCCATGCTGAGGCGTACAGCTGAGTCAGACCTCCCCGCCCCTCCCCCTAGCCGGTGGACAAAAGAGAGACAGCCCCAGGTGAAGCAGATATTCAGGGAAGCTCTGGTGGGGAAGGTAGCTTTCCTGAAGGGGAGGAGCTGGCAGAGGCCCCAATGCCTGGCAGACTCTAATCTCCTAGGCTGTCCTATATTGTGGCACCAAACCCTGAATGCCCTGAGGGTCAGGTCAGCCTATGAGGAGCTCTTTGGCCTCCTGTCCCCAGAGCCTGTCCTGGCAGCTCCCAGACAATCTCCCTAACCCCCACCCCCAACCCCACTGGTCTCCTGCACTTCTTTCTCCCAGTCCTCTCCTGACACTGACTTGGAGGATTAGCGAGGACAGAACCAGGTATCACTCCATCCCCCACCCCTCATCACCCCTCAGATTACTGCAAGTTACCAGGGCCACAGCCCCTTCCCAGTTCCTCCCAGGCTGCACCCAACCCCACCCAGGGACACCAGCCCCTGCCACACTCAGACAGCCTTTTGTCCCTAGCTGGCTGGTCTGGAGCCCATTGTTGGCCCTGTGAAGACAGCCTCTGTCCACCCGGCCCCAGCCGCAGGCACTTGGGCTGGCGTGCCTGGGACCCAGGCTGAGCTGGGAGAGCAGAGTCCATGGAAACTCAGACCCTAGGGGAGGAGCGCTGGCAGGCAGCAACCCCTTGGTGCCAGCCTGGCACTGCCAGCCTCCGGGCCACAAACCTGAGCCTCCAGACGTCTCCCTCCCCACCCAGTCCCTACATCCAGTCCTTCCGCCTGCTCAAACCTCTGATTTAAGGACCTGCTCCATGCAGGCTCCAACATCTCTGATCTCCTGCCTCCAGGCTCACCTTCCCAGCATGCCTTCACGCCTACCCACCCACCCCCGACCCCCACAAGCCCTGACAGCTCTTCCACCCCTTCCTTTGCCCTCCCCAGCTGCCCCAAGAAGTCAAGAGGCCTAGTTAGCAAAAGCAACCTCAGCCTGCCTCACCATGAGGATGTCTGCGGTGATGGCCCAATTAGAAAACAGCAGTGTCTCCCCGACAAAGATGCAGATCTGCGCAGGAGAGACCAGAGCAACTGTCAGGAGGCCCTCCACCCACCAGCGGGCCAGGGCTGCTAGGGAGGGAACCCCAAATCTTCCCACCCCTCCCTGGGGCCTGCATCTCCTGGTAGTCAGGCTCATGAGGAAATTGTGGCTTACCAAGCCATGCCTGCAGCCCTGAAGGACACCAGAGCCCTGGACAGGCCCTGGAAAGAGCAGGGGCAGGCAGATAGCAGCCTCCCCATGGGGAGGGAGGGCCCCATAAGTCAGACTGCATCTGCTGCCAGGCCAGCTCCCACCACTACCCTTGTACCCCGCACTGCACTCACATAGGCCCCCACGATGCTGCTCTTGGCGGCCACGAAGATGAGGCAGATGAAGATGGCAGAGCCCAGCATGCCCACAGCACACACCAGAGGGTCAGCCCGCTGGGTCCGCAGGCGGCACCAGCGCGTGGCTCCTGCCCCCGTGACCACACCCAGAAAGCCCGTAAAGCAGGTGATGGCCCCAAAGATGAGGCTGTGGGGACAGAGGACAGTAGGGTATGGGTTGAGAGGAAGCCCAAGGCTGGGGCAGAGGGGCTGGCACTTCTGTCCAGTGTCCCTCACCACCCTGCTGCCCACCACCCCCACCTCAGCCTGCCCCCACCTGTCCTTGGCCCCACAAGGCGGGCTGCTGCATGTCTCCGCCGTCTTCTGCACTACTTGGGCGCGGTGCAGGTAGAGCGGGATCCACATGCCCAGGGCCCCTGTGGCGAATGACACAGCCGACGTGGCCAGGGAGGAGAAGACGTAGCTACGGCTGGGGAGAGGCCAGGGCAGCGACACTGAGTGGGGGCCAAGAGCCCTGCAGCTGGCCCAGAAGGCAGCCTTTTCTCCCCCACTCCATCCCCAGGGACAGAAGGCCTCTAATGTCTTCCCTTACGGGTTCCAGGCGTGAGGGCTATGGCTGCAGGAATAATAAAACACTAGTGCCCAAAAGGTCACTCCCAGCATTGTGGGCAACAGAGATAGTAGGGCGTCTGGCCGAGGGTGCCAGGCGGGCCGCCTTGCAACGGGTGTCCTCTTGCCTCAGCACACCTCCCTCTTCCCACCAGACTTCTCCCAACTGTACTCACTTTCTGATCAGGGCCTTCATGTCTCGGAGCCATGAGGTTCGTGCCTTAAGCTGTCCCCCAAGCTGGTCGGCGTGGCCTCTCTTAGTGGCCGGGACAAGGACAAGGATGAGCGTTCCTGTGATCATGCCCATAATGGGGGACACCTGATGGGGCAGGGAGCACCAAGTTAGAACACCAGGGCAGAATCAGCTTTATCTCTGCTGCATTAGGAAAAGGGACTCAGGCAAGCTGCACCTTCTCTGGGCTCCAGGTCCCTCCCCTGGGTTAGTATCTGCCCATCCTTCCTGACAACTGCTGAGCAAAACCACTGGGAATGAGGTCAGCAAAAAGGGCTTGGCAGATCAAACTGGAGTGTCTAGACCGGGAGCAGGATGGGAGAGGGGACTGAAGGAAGAAAGGAGGGAAAGATAGTCAGGTGGATGGAGGAGGGAGGACATGGCTGGAGAGATGGACAAAGGAATGGACAGACAGATGGAAAGATGGATGGATGGATGGATGGATGAATTAACTGATGAAAAACAGATATGAAGATAGATGGATGGATCAACACATGGAAAAACAGGAAGATGGATGGATGGATGGATGGATGGATGGATGGATGGATGGAAAGAAAGGAAGACAGGTAAATATTGGATGTGTAGATGATGAGTGAGAGAAGAAAAAGATTTCCTGTAGATAGGGAGTCAGATATCAGATAGCTGGGTCTGGGAAAGTTCCTCATGAGAGCTCTTTGCCCTGGGGGATACTGGGAAGGGACTGGCTGGGCATGAAGCTTCCAGCAGATAGATCAGGTAGATTATCATTTGGGAGGGGCCCATGTGGCTCCCAGGAGAACAGAGGCTCGGAGACTCCTTTGGGTCTTCCCTGTGTCCAGTCCAGTGTCAAGAATAGAATCTCCAAGGCCCCAGGCCTCTCTCCAGATAGCGGGAGGTGGGGGTTGGGGTGGAGACACATCTCAGCAGCCTGGATTCCAAAATAACATGCTCCTCCATCAGCTCATAAGAACAGAAAACTCAATCCCCACCCCCACCAGGCCTGGGAGCCCATGGGCTGGGGAGTTCCTCTCCATTAGCCAACCCCTACCCACATCAAGAAATTCCATGGAGGCTGCTTCCTTCCTGCTTTTGAGGAAAAAACACTTTGTCTTAAGCTTCCTCTCCTCTGCGAGACTGGGGATCTCTGTTTCCTCTGATTGCACTGTCCTGGAGCCTTGGCAGACTTGCCTGGAGTCTTCCCAGGGGACAGGAAGTGGCTGCAGACCCAGGGGGCCCCCACACAGAGGTCTTGTCTCTGCTTCACTGTAGCAGTGGCAGGGCTTATAGCAGGAAGCACCATCGTGGACCTGGAATTTCCTGACATGGCGGGAGAGTCTTTTGTCCTCTTAGCTGGGGGGCCCCTGAGGTGGCAGGGCTGAGTCCAGCTCTGCTCATTCCTGGGGTCCCTGACACCACAATGTGGACTAATCTAGAAGAGCCCAGGCCCATGAGCTGGGAAGCCTGGAGGCCAAACCCGCATTCTAGCCCAGGCTCTGTCCCTGAATTTCTGAGTGACTCTAGGCATGGTCTGGTCTGGGATGTGTGCTTACCCGCAAGGCCCAGTGCCAGTCTCCAGCTGCCTGCTTCACGCTGGAGCCAGTAATGTACCCCAGGCCACTGCAGAGAAGACGAGCGGTCAGGCAGGGACAGGTGGGGGTGGGGATGGTATGTGCAGGGGATGCTTACTATCTACCAGGCAGGTCACCCGCCCACCCGCCCCAATCACCCGGCCAGTCATCTGGGGAGCAAGTCTAGGTGTTTTTCCAAGCCTGACCACCCGCATGTTTAGGTCACAGAGGGCTGCCTCAAGGAGAAAGAGTGGTCAGAAGTCCAAGGGAACCTTGCCCGGATCCTCACCTGCCCAGCGGGATGGCAAAGTAGAAGACAGACAGCATGAGCGTGCGTGTGTTCTTGGTGAAGAGGTCGCCGATGATGGTGGGCGCAATGGTGGAGTAGCTGGCTTCACCAATGCCCACCAGCCCCCGAGACAGGACCAGCAGCCAGAAGTGCTGTGAGGAAGGTGCGGAGAATGCTGGGAGTCTGTTCTGCTCCCCTGACTACTCATCCTTGGTCCCCACTTTGCCCCCCACCTTCTGCAGGGTCCAGGAGCCAGGGGAGAAAATGAAGCCCAACCTCTGCCTCGGCAACCACTACACCCCCGGGGCACACTGGGCCTCAGTTCCACCTTCCATATAGGGTCTGACTGGGCCTGGTTGGCCCAGTGCTGGGATGGAACTGGACTTTCCCAAGTTGAGAATTGTAGGTATGGCCCAGATAGGTCCCCTTCATCCCCATAAGCGTGGAGGACATAGCCTGTGTTTCTACCCTCCCAAAATTAGATTTCCTCCTTGGATTCTGGCCCCACTTTGAGTCGCTCCCACTCTGTCCCACTCTCAGGCAGGGCAGCTGAGCTGACCCTGGCAGCACTGAGGACCCCATGTGAGTGGGGAGTGGTCAGGGCAACCCAGTGGGCTCAGTGCCCCTCCCTCATACACACATCAAAGAGCAAAGCCCCACGGAGCTGGGAAGGGCGGGGCCATGCCAGCTGCCAGTGTTACTACCCCTTTGATGTGGACCAGGCCCCTCCATCCCCCCAGCTGCCCGGGGCTTGAGAACCCAGCCTGGTCATCTTTTCCCTGACCACCCATCCAGCCAGCATCGCCCACATTCGGCCTTCCTCCAGGCTCCCTGCTTCCCTCTCTCCTTCTTCCCAGCTCTTTCCTGGCCCTCTCTCTGTGTCACTGCTCCTGTCCAGCCATCTCTATGCCTCTCACTTCTGTAGCTCACTCACGCTGTCTCTGAGTCTCCCCCTAACTCCTTGCCTCTGCTTCTTTTCCTGGGAATTAGCTGCCCACAGCCTTTGCCTATTTTTCTGTTGGATTGTTTGTCTTTCTTGCCTCGATTTCTATTAGCTTTTTATATATCATGGGTATTGATCCTTTATTGCATATGTCACAAACATTTTCCATCATCTTTTTTTCCACTTTGTATATGGGAATTCTACCATATAGAAGCTTTATTTTGTGTTTAATTTGATGATGTCCAATCTGTTGATTTTCCCCTAATGGCTTCTGGATTTCATGTCTTTTTTAGGAAAGCATACTCCACCCCAAAATGATTTTAAAATATTTTTTAATGTTTTGTTTTTATATTTTAGAGAGAAAGAAAGAGAAAGGGAGGGATTTTCTCAGTCATTCTCCTCAGCACAGGAGCAGGCAGATAAGAACCCGCTGAGGGGATCCTGTTGATCCCGATCCTGCACCCAGTACCCACTATATTGTGCATTTGTGCATTTGTTACACATCCAGGTACCAATGAACGACACTTGGTGTCCCCCTGTGCTTTGAAGAAATTAACATAAAAGGAAACTTTCCATGCATTTCCATGCACAACTTGCTTTTTTCACCTCATTTCAATCTTTTGGTAACCCATTTTCTGCTGGTTAATATAGATCTAGTTCATTCTTTTGCAGTCAAGAGTCTCATAGGATAAAGACACCCCATTTTATCTGGGCATCGCTCTATTGTGGTCGCTTAGATCATTTCCTTTTTTTTCCTATTACAGGAATGCAACAAACATCCTTGCATGCATGGGTCACTATGTGTCCACAAGTTGGAGTTTCTCTTGGGCGTATCCCTCGAAGTAGAAGGCTGGGGCCTTGAAATGTATAGAGCTAGAATTTTACAAAATTCCTCCATTTTGCTCTCCAAAGAGTCTATCAATTTACACTCCCACTAGCAGCTTTAATAACACTTGGTATTGTCAGCCTTTTTAATTGTTGCCAATCTGATGGGTGTGAAATGGCATCTCATTTTATTTGCATTTCCTTGATTACACAAAACCAAATACCATCACTTCATACTTTTAGTGCCCGTTTGGGTATCTGCTCCTGGAATTGCTTCTCAGTATCCTTTGCCCATTTTTCTCCGGGTTATTTGTCTTTTTATTGTTGATTTTTAGTTCTAGATTTTTATAGTTTGCTTTTTACTTTACTTTCACCTATCCAAAATTTATTTCGACGTGTGTTTTGAAATACAGACTAAACTTTCTTTTTCATCTAGATGGATAGTCAATTCTCTCAAAACCATTTAAGATTCAACTTTCATTTTACATTCAATTCCCATAGAAAGGAGGACTCCGTTTCATTGATCTCTTAGTCTATCCCTCTGATGTTGTGGTTAGAATAGCCATACTGTGATAACCGACAGGGCAAGGCCCCTTTCACTGTTATTCTTCACAATGTTCTTGGCTGTTCCTGGGTGTTTTCCCTGCCAAATTAACTTCAGAATCACATTACCAAGGTCCACTCAAAACTCCTGTGGGACTGATTGTGATTGCAATGAATTTGTACATTAATTGGGGGTGAACTGTCTGTTTCTTTCTCTGCCTCTGCCCATCATCTGTCCCCAACCCTCCCTCCCTCCCACATACCTGGAGCGGGGCCCAGCACTGGCCTCATGGTCCTGAACTCACTGGTCAATCCCAGAAGTAGCCCAGAGCTCAGAAGACCAGGGGCCTGGCCAGGGGCAAGACAAGGCCCAGAGAGGCCTAGAAGATTCTGGTCCAGGCCTCAATTTTGACTGTGGGTGTCAGAGCCTACTTGAACCTGATCCTCCTCTAAAACTGTCCCATGAAGCAAAATTGTACCCCCAAACCTGCTGATCCTCTCTGATCTCACCTCCAACCTCCCCATCCTCACAATCAGTATAAATCTGACTCACCATTACCCTTCTTCAGACTCTTCCAGGGTCCTTCACTGCCCTCAGGAGAAAGCCCATGCCCCCCAACCTGGTCCCTGCCTTCCTTTCCAGCCAAAACACTCTGCTCCTTGATCTCTCAACACACTCTACCATTTCTGTACCTAAATCCATGGGTTTGCTCCCTCTGTCCATGCTACCTTTACCAAAAGGCCAAATCTCCCTGTCCTGCCTGCCCGGCTCAAATGCCATCTCCTCCAGGAAGCCTTCCCTGACCCCATGGATTTTAAGAGATTGCTCGTTCTACAGTGAGGACTTTCAGCACTTAGCATATCCCAAAGGCTCTGAACATGGGAGCTCCTGTCACATCTCTCCACCCCTAGCCTGGGTGCTCCCAAGGACAGGGCCAGGGTCTCCTCCTTTGTCCCTTAAGCTGAAAACTCCCTAAGGACATATCCCGGTCTTCTCCCCTTCTTCCTCTATCTCCCTCTATAGTAGGCATCATATGTCCTTCCTCTGCCTGAATGTCCCTAGTGATGGGAAATTCACTACCTCTCAGAGTAATAAATCTCCTTTTTGGAAAAAAGAATAGAAATAATGATTTGTTGAATACTTGCCATGTTCCAGGGCCTGGGCATTAACTCAGTTATTTCTCACAATAAACCTTCAAGCTGAGAGGTATTATCCCCATTTTAAAAATGAAGAAACTCAGGCTCAGAGAAGTTTAGTAAATTTCTCCAGATCACAAAGCTGAGTGGACAACAGAGTTGGGATATTCAAACCCAGAATTGTGAGAGCCACGTAAGAAACACCTTCCTTCTGTTGAAGTGATGTTTGCCTCCCTAGGATTTCGACCCAAGGAGTTAGCTGCTCATTGAATGAAGAACAAACTGTGAGAGGCCCAGAAGGGGTAGTGACTCACCTAGAGTCACACAGCAAAATGATGGCGGAGTCAGGACTAGAACCAAAGGGTCCTGACTCCTAGGCCAGACTAGTTCCCCTTGTTCTTTGCATCCTCCCCAAATCAGAAGCAGCTCAGAAAGAGTCAGAGTACCACATTAGGCTGCAAGTCCTTCAGTTCTGGCCAGCATGGGGAAGACCCTACTTGCAGGGCCAGTTTATAAAAGTACCCAAAGACCCCCTCCACCCACTGCACTTGGAAGATGCTGTCTGAGGTTCAAGCGAAGGGGCTGGAACCCTGAGTCTAAACTAGAATAGATCAATCAGACTGGTCATACACTGGAGGAATGGATGGGACACACAGGGTTACTGGACAGTAAGTCCAGACAGGCCTCACCTGCTGGGGGATGAAGGAGCTGGAGAATGTGACTGCTGACCAGAAGAAAATGCCGCAACTGAGGATCACTTTCCTGTTGAAGCGGTCACCCAGGTAGCCAAAGATGGGGGCAGCCACCATGAAGCTGCAGATGAACACTGTGCAGGGAGAGGAGAGCTTGAGGGGCCATGCAGGGTCACTGTGGCTGAGCCCTCCTGCCCAGACCACTCCAGCGTGAGGCAAGTTCTCAAAAGGCAGGGCTTGGCCTGGGCCAGGCACCGAGGAAACGGCCCCAGAGAAGACAGCCTTGGCCAGGCCTGAGCTCAGGGGAGGCAGGAAAGGCCCTCCGGGTTAGGGTGACACCATCCTCTTCAATGCAAGCCCACAGTTCGTCCAGCTGCAAGTGAGTCCTTTGGGTACTTTTGAAACAGTAAAGATTTACTCATTGAACAGTTTCTACAGGCCAGGAGCTGTACTAGGGCTCAGTACAAAGCATCTTGTGTATCCCTCCAACCCATCCCACCTGGCAGATGGGGAGACAAGCTCAAGGAGAAGTTACTTGCCCAAGGCCCCACCAGCAGTAAACATCCCAGTGGGGATTTGACCTGATCTAAAGCCAGTGTTCTTTGTACTTTGCCACACTGCTTTCTTTATTATACTTGAAAAAGAGGTTCAGAGAGGGGAAGGGAACTACCCAAGGTCACACAGCAAATCAGGACAGAACTGGGCCTGGAACTCCAGGTCTCATACCTGACATTACATAGCCACTCTCCCTCCCGACAGGCTGCAGAGGCTGTCCTTACATTTGGAAACACTGTCATTTGCTTTTTGCTGAATAGGTCGATGAATGAATGAATGAATGAATGAATGAATGAAAATTCCTGCCCTCTTGGAGCTTTCATTCTACTGAGAACCAGACAATAAAATAAAAAACATAGTATGTCAGATTGGACAAGTGCTAAGGAGGATAAAAGGCAGAAATGAGAGACAGGAAATGTGTAAAGCAGATGTTATAATTTTAAATAGAAGGCTCAGAGAAGGTGACATTTTCAGCAAAGACCTGAGAGAAGTAAGGAAACAAATCATGCAAACATTGGGGCAAGAACAGTCAGTACAAAGACCCTGGGGCAGGAGCATACTTAGCATATTTGAGGAACAGCAAAGAGGCCAGAGTGGCTGGAACAGAAGGGTTGGGGGGTTGGGGAAGGCCATAAGGGGTAGGACCTTGTGGCCCACTGTGATGCCTGTGGCTTCTGCCGGTGAGAAAGGAAAACACTGGAGGATACTGAACAGAGGAGTGATATGACCTGGTTTTGTTCTTCGAGAACAAGAGAGCAGCAGACTCTTAGAGGGCTCAGTGAGGATGCCACTGCCAGTGATGGGAGGAGCCTCAGAGGTCCCAGGTGGAATAAAGAGGCCAGCAAGCCAGGGTAGGGCCAGGGTCATGGCACGGCAGCACCCCACCCCTCTTCCTCCCACTGGAAGGCAGTCCTGCAGCTGACGGACAGATGGCCAGACAAAGGCCAGGAGTGGGCAGACAAGGTGGCCAGTGAGAGACCTCTGACCACCAAGCTGAATGCACACATGGGCTAGTCTGCTCCCTCACAGACCTGAGTCCCTGGGGAGGAGGA